TTTTAGGCTAGCATAAGTCATGTCAAGTTTCCGTCGTGTAATGTCAAGCATACATCTTGTGTCCCCTGATGTTGTAACCTATGACTCACACCTACCCGTCCTGTGTAACTTGGTTCCTGGATGAATGGGGATGAATGAGGGTGCTTGAGAGACAATGGCAGTAGGTCTAAAATAGCTCCCTCTGAATGACCGAACCATCAACAGCAATACCTGGACCAACGACCCAGCCATTGGAACCACCCTCCACATTCAAGACACAAAAGATGAGGCACCCCAGCATGGTGCCAGGCTGCATATGTGCAGTATGAACACCTGGAGCCCTCGGGACCAGGACTGACCTTGCCTGGACAGGCCCGCCCAATTGGAGATCAGAGGTAGTATGGCCCATAAAAAGGGGTAGTGAAGACAGACACAGTGGGACACCGTCTCCATCTGGATCAGCACCACGCCACACCACCTATCCACCCAGAGGCCCTGCCAGAGACCCCCTCTGGACAACACCTGCTGGACAAGGACCCCTTTCCAGCCTGGATAGATAGCTATCACCCCCCACCCTCCCTTCAACCAAGGACTTGGACTCTGCTTCTCTTCCCTACCTGAACACCAGCCCTTCCACTGAGTCTCTTTCTCCTGCTGCCATTGTGAGTGCTTGTGTGTGTGTGCGCGTGAGCCAATAAATTCATGGGGCTGCGTAGTGTGATGTCTGCTTAATAAACCTGTTATTCTGAAACCCCGAGTTGGGTTTTTGTCTGTCTCCTCCTTGCCATCACTTATCTGCCAGCACATCCAGGTCGAAGCGCCAGCCTCATTCGGCTTCCTGAAGTGGTTCAGAGATCTGGCCATAGGGTATAATGGGGCAAAAATAAAATATCTATAACTTTGTTGTTTTTTGTCTGATTTGGATGAAATTTTCAGGGATGGTAGAGAGCATGAAGCCTGCCAAGTTTCAAGAAGATTGTTGGAGGGGGTTGGGGGGAACAGCACCCCAAATTCTTGAAAGCAAAACTCATGTCACATCTAGGTGTTATAACATAGCAGGGTGAAAACTGCAGGGCTGGTGGCTCTTACAGAGGCCACAAAGCTTCAAATCTGGAGGGGTGCCCTGCAATGATCTTCTTGAAACTTGGCAGGCTCTGTGGCCTCAGCAGGGGCCCCCAGCCCTGCAGTTTTCACTCTGCTGTGGTGTGACACACAGCCATGACATGAGTTTGGCTTTCAAGAATTTGGGGTACAGTTCCCCCATAAGCCAATTTTCTACCCACCAGACTGTGTAATAATCTACATTGCTTCTGTTTAGTTTATTGATGAGAATTGGGTGTGACGCTGTGTCAAAGGCCTTTTTAAAATCTAAGCAAATAACATCTACCTCTGTTCCTTCATCCGAGCATTTTGTGACCCAGTCGTAAAATGCAGCCAGTTTAGTTAGGCAGGATCTGCCTGCTATGAACCCATGCTGCTTGCCCCTTAGCAGCATTTTACCCACTGGTCCCCTACAGATGTGATCCTTAACAATTTTCTCAAAGGTCTTGCCAAGGATAGTTATCCAGTTCCTCCTTCCTCTCCTGTTTGAAAATAGGGACAGCATTGGCCCTTTTCCAGTCCTCCAGGATCTGTCCTGAGCACCACGAGTGCTCACACAGTGCCAGTGGCTCGGCTATGACTCCAGCCAATTCCCTAAGTACCCTCGGATGAAGATCATCAGGACCTGTTGACTTAAATACATTCAACCCCTCCAGGTGCCCCTTTACTAGGTCAGCACGAACAGTCGGTGGGTTGGTGTCTATACTGGGCTTACCTAAGGTCCCAATGGGAAGCGTATTTGTATTTGTGTCCAGGAACACAGATGCAAAGAAATCATTTAGAAGCTCTGCTTTGGCCATCCTATTGTTACCAGTTGCCTTAGTTTATCCTGAAGGAGCCCTAAGTTACCCTGCGCCCATTCTTTTTGCTTCCTATATACTTAAAGAATGACTTCTTGTTATCCTTAATTTTTGCTGCCAGCCTAAGCTCCATTTCCGCATTGGCTTTCCTTACTGCTTCCCTGCAAGCTTGAGCCAAGCAGGTACACTTCTCCTTGGTGGCAGCCCCCTGCTTTTACAGCCTGTAGGCATCTTTTTTTTCCCCTCCAGGCTCTCTTGGATTTCCCTGCTCCACCAAGAGGGTTTCTTTGCTTTTTTTGCCCCCTTTTATGTGTACTGGGATGGTCCTTTTTTGTGCCTGAAGGATTAGTCCCTTGAGAAGCGCCCACCCTTCCTGGACTCCCATGTCTCCAAGGCTTTTACCAGTCAAGGCTTTTGCCTGAGCTCCATGCAGCTGGGCTTCACCCACATACCCTGGGTCCCACCATGGGGGGGGCAGGGGTTGCTCCAGAGCCTTAATTCCCCACTGAGGGCTAGAGCTGCCCCCCAGAGACCAGCTGCCTATGCCCTGCTCCACCCAGCTGCTCTCCAAAGGGGCCCACAGCCCCCCCCCCCAGCCCCACAGCTTGGCTGGTATTGCCAGTCTTGGCTGCTTTGAAAGGCAAGGACCAGGCTCTGGCAGGGAGGCTGAACCCCAAGTGACACGAGCAGCATGGGTGCCAAGGTGAGGTACGCTAGGCCCACGGAGACCTGGGCAAGCCTGGCCGAGCCTAGCAACATCTGCGCCAGTCCCCCAGCAGTCAGGGGTAAGCAGTGGCATCCCCCATGCACAGAAACCCAGAGACTGCTGCTGCTGGTGTCACCAACCAACCTACCCACGGGAGAGCAGATACCCCAGGGCATGCAGTGTGCAGGCCTCCTGCTACAAAAGGCCAACACACCCCACCACCAGCTGCCTCCAAACTGCTGGAGACCCCTTGCACCCTGGCTCTGAGAGCTGGAGCAGACAGAGGACCCAGCTGGGGTGCTGGGTGTCCTGCAGGGATGAAGATGATGCAGGGTCTGAGCCAGCTGGCAGGGGGCTAGGCAGCTGTCTGCAAGGTGCGTGAGCCTGGAGTGGGGCTGCGATGGGCTCTTAGTTGTTTCATAGCTTCATAGTTGGTAGGGTCAGAAGAGACCTGAGCAGATCATCAAGTCCGAACCCCTGCCATGGCAGGAAGAGTCCTGGGGTCAAATGACCCCAGTGAGGTGATTATTTAGCCTCCTTCTGAAGACCCCCAGGGTAGGAGCGAGTACCACTTCCCTTGGAAGTTGATTCCAGATCCTAGCCGCCCTGACCGTGAATAGTGTTTCCTATTGTCCAGCCTGAACCTGCTCTCAGTCCACATGTAGCCATTATTCCTTGTTACTCCCAGTAGTGCTCAGGGGAACAGGGTCTCTCCCGTTCCCCGCTGGTCTCTCTTTGTGAGTTTGTAGACGGCCACCAGGTCCCCCCTCAGCCTTCTCTTGTGGAGGCTGAACAGGTTCAGGTCCCGTAGCCTCTCCTCGTAGGGCCTGCCCTGCTGCCTCCTGATCGAGCGGCCTCCTTTGGACCCTCTCCCTGTTGTCCACATCCCTCCTGAAGTGCGGTGCCCAGAGCTGGACGCAGTACTCCAGCTGCGGCCTGACCAGTGCTGCATAGAGGGGGAGGATCACCTCCCTGGACCTGCTCGAGATGCATCTGTGGATGCACGACAAGGTGCGGTTGGCCTTCCTGACTGCGTCCCCAC